GAAGGCAATTGTAGGGGTATTCCATAAGAAGTGGGTGGGACTACGAAATTCCGATTAATATGATCACCGTACGATTAAAAATGGAAGATGACGTCATCATGGTTCTAAAAATCACGTTGGCTTGGCACGATACAGTAACCGATATACAAACGATGTTAATGACACTAAGTGTTATGTGGTGTGCAGTAGTGAGACCACTGATCTGATGGGCAAACCTCTTCACGATTATCTTGGAAGAAAAATATGACACTCTTCGAAGTCCTGGAGCAATAAGAAGCAATCGCGCTAACCTTGCACACAAAAGGATAAAGTGTGACTTTAACTCAGTTTGGTTGAGTGGTTTGACCATAATCGGCATGACAGCAAATCAATGAAATCAGATAAATAAGACGGAGAATGGAAGAGAGATGGAAAGACATAACAAGTCCGTTCCATTTCGGTATCTGAACCACTACTAATCCTTGCGTGATCATTGTGCTCGCGTTTTGTTATCTATCGGTTTATTCCAGATTCCTTCCTATCAAGTGGCTGGCCATCTTGACTTGCTCCTTCTTTTTGTCTTTTCTTGATCACTGTTCGCAGTCATCTCAATTTTCTTTTATGCTTGAAATTGCTTTAATTCGCTGCTATGGTTTTCTCCAAACACTTTCCCTGTGTTGTCGAGATTCCGCTGGGAGCCTAGTAAGATCCTACCTACCTCTTCGTCATCCACGTGTCAGTTCCAGGAGAATTTTAATGACATTCTTCTTCTGAATTGAACACTTCTGAAAGTTTTTTAAATTTTTTTGAGGAACCCATTCTTTCTGATGTTCTTTGTTACATTGGTCAAACCAGCCAGCAAGCTGTCACTGTGCGATTCTGCGTGAAGCTCAAATCTTCATGTACCTTGTGCACTTTTACGTGTTAGTGGATGTATTTGTTGAGCTGTGATAAAAGAAGTCGACTCAGTTTCTTCTTTTCGTTTGCCAATATTCTCATGCAAGCTCGTTACTTGTTTCGAGACTAAACTAACTATTTGTCTGAATTCAATTCTCTGTTTAAAGTGCCGCTTAAGTTATAATCTGGAAGAAAAGGGAACTATTTTTCATCGTTTTATCTTTAACTACGTCTTAAAGCTTAGTGGAGGGTCATGTTAACCTCCAATTCACACTTAAAAACTATGCCCCATTTTTAAAAAGGACCTTAGACAATGAAAATCGATATAACTAAGTCCATGAACCAGGTCTTAAGCTTTTAACATTATTGTAGTTGTTTTATAGGCCTAGGGGCGCATGTGGCGCAATGGTCGGAGGCGCCCTGCAATACACATGGGATCGATCCCTACGCCCATGGCCCACCAAGCCTTCCATCCCTCCTGGGCTGGCAAATTGGTACCAGACTTGTCTGTGAAGATAGCAGCACTGCGAGTCATTGTAAAGGTCAGATATGCATTCAGTCACCTCCAACGTTGCTCAATGAAGTCGAATGCATGGCGCATCCCCGAGGGATCTATCAAGGCCGAGAGCTTTATCCTTTTATACTTTATTATTTCATTGGTTTATTTCAAATAAAAGCATGTGTCTTATAACTTCGTTGGACATTGACTCAACAGACAGCTGGAAGTCGTATTAAGATAGACATGTAGAAGAACACGAGGCATGAAGGAAATACACGTTAAAAAGTAGAATGATGTAAGAAGATGAGTACATGTGGCTTCCTAATATATCTTTTGCCTAGCTTTCTTCGTTAATATGTCATTTTTCGTTAGCTTATGATTGACAGCGATCGTACTTTGGCTATCGTCACCCCACCATCGTAGTGTGTCCAATTCGGAGCTCTAGCGCTTGTCGATGGCTACTTGAACGATGTCCACACCAAGCACTTGATGACATTTCAATGGCCCACCGAAATTATACTCGATTAGAGCGCTTCACGTTCGATTATCTTCTCAGGAAGCTTGCTATAGTTTTCCATTAAGAGCAAGTACAGTTTTTTATTTTATTCCAATTTTTAAATTAGCTCTATTAGTGTTTTTGTTAAAAATCGATGTTTCGCCCATCTTCACATCATCAATTACTGCTGCGATGCTAATGTGTCTCTGTGCATAACAGGATCGCTTCGGCTCCCTAATGAGAAGGTCGTAGTACACTGGTTTGGTTGTTTGCTTTTTGCTCATAGTCATTCTGTACCCGATATGGTCCAGTTTGGCTAATGAATCTACGACAATTCACTGGAACTAATGAACTGGTTATCTGAGTTAAATAACAAGATCCCAAATATGTTCGCCACTTGGAGAATACAATTTTCTGTCTGACATTTAGACAGCTCAAGGAGAGAGGCAGTTCTGCAACCCGATAGATGTGTTGCGCAGTGTCTAAAGTTGGTCTATAAGTTGTCCACGAGTGGTTTTCCCCGGCAGAGATTTCACATGCCAAGTGTCCATATTGAAAGTGAACCCTTACGCAGAGGCATAGATAACTAAGTTTCTTCCTACTTTATGTAAGAATATCAGAAATCTTAAGAATACTGGGTAAAAGCCCTATGGTTTTTTTGAATAGAAACAAAAGTGATGGGGAAGAAGATCAATACCTATCTTTGCCAAGGAATTATACTTTTAATCTGCCCACTGTCTTCGCGTTGTTCTCAGTTTGGCCTTTCGGAAGCAACGAGTATATGTGGTTTTGCAATATCAATTTCTTCAAGTGTACGTCATTGAAGGAGTTACTTCTATGACTTCCGGTTTAAACCAGGAATTCAAATCTATTGTCAAATTTCACCTTCTTGAAGGTAATCGTCTACTTTTGCCAAATTCGCCAGGTACGCGCTTTCGCAAAACACACTGTGGCCGCTGATCTCTCGGCCCATCTCTTCAACAATAACAAAGACTCGGCTGATCGTTTGTCTAGCCTAGAGATGAGCAGCGTTTACGGACCATCTTCTCTACCCGTTAACGAGCCACTTGACGCGGCCCGACCCTCGACGACGTTTTTGTTGTGGTCCCGGCTAATGAGTTCCGACAGCGAAAGTCACTACCTATGATTGCGCACAAGTGTTTTTGCCACCTAATCTGTTAGGGGTTTATATTTCCAGTGCCGGGCTCTATGCAACATGGTTTATTCGTAGAACACCAGTAGTATGTTCACTTTGGTTTTCCTACTACTCCCTAACAATGCCAGTCATCGCTCATTCTTAGTAGTGGATTTTTTCAACTCAATATTGCTCCTCCTCCTTTCTTATTGGGACATCGTTCATTTATCAATACGTGTCTGTACTTTTTAAGGGTCTTGTGATGTCCTCCTGGAAAACAAGAAAACCGATTGAGATGCAGTAGTTTTTAAAGATCAGATAGGGAACACTGATTTTTATTTGGCAATATTATTATTATTAATAAACCTAACGAAGAGGACTTTGAAGTACGGGTCACGATCCTAGCACAGGAATCGAGAACACAAGCGTGCAAAACTCTCGTGGCGTTCTGGACCAATTCCAGAAATCCGAAAATGAACCGCAGGGAAGAATGCCTCATTATCACTCGTGATATTGGGCAGTATATAAGCCTGTTATTCTGATGGGAGGGGCACATTACGCTTCCATGTGAATTCTTTGCGTTTGGTCTCCATGCGACATACTCAGTGGAAGACTCATAGAAAGCGGTGAGTGTGCAAGGAAGCTATTATGTGTTCAATGTGATTGAAATCTTGGTTTAGCGTTTTCTCTGTTTGGTTATGGAGGTGTTTGGCCGAATAGATTGCAGTCAACTTGACCTTTCGAAACGTCAGCTTATTCGTGAATAAAGAATAAAATAACATCTCGCGTTTACTCAACAAGAATACGAAGAATTATTACTATTGTTTGAAATCCCGCCAATTTTTGGAACACTATTATCCTCTGGAAACCTCATAAAATTTATTGTTTAGGTTTGATATTCTTTTTCTCCTTTCTCGTAGTTATTAAAGTCGGAAATTGAGTTTTTTAACCCAGAAGTAGACTGCTTGTGTTTGTTCAACTGTTTCACTGCCTTACCATTAGGTCTCCCTCTCTCTCTCTCTATTTCCCTCTCTCTCTCTATCTTTCTCTCTCCCATCGTCAATAAACTTAAACCATTCTTTACAAGGTGCATTTTTTGTAGATCGTTTTACTTTTTAATAGTCCCACGGTAGTTACTTACATTATTAACTACTTGTGTCCGTGTTCGTAGTAGTAGCCAAATGTGATATAAAGCCGTTATTCAGAAAATCGTCTGCAAAGTAATAGATGCGTATATTGGCGGCGCTAAAATTGGGTAGGAGTAATAAACTCGGGAGATTGCCGGTACTGAATGTCACAGTGTTTTACGGATCCCCCTACAGGAATGCGATGCGATCATGCTCAAATGAAATACCTCTGGGGAATATTGACCGCAGTAGTAGCTAGTGTTCCAATCCAACGCACGAAGGTATTTTTATTCCACTCATTACTTAAAAGTTTTCTCTACTATCTAGTTGTAACTGTAAGTCGTGAGAGAGCTGCATTTGTAGCACAATATTGGCAAACGAAATATACTTATGTCCTACCTTTTTTGAGTTCAAAAACAGTAGCATTTTTTTTCTAGTTTATCACCTGTATCACCTGTAGTCCCATTAATCGAGTGACTCGAGCGGGCGCCAGTAAATCTTCCATTTTTTCCTGTCGCGTTTAAGAGTAGCCCAGTGAGTTCTGCTCGCTCTAGAGACTTATCGAGCATCATATCTTTCTTCAAGGCTTTTCGTGAAGAACTCTGACCATCGGATCGGTGGTCTTCCTGCAGTACGTTTGACATCCCTAGGAATCCGGTCACTAACGGCTCTTGTCCATCGGTTATCATTACGTGTCCGGCCAACCTTATCTTCGACTGGTTGGCGTACAGAACGGCATCTTGGATTTCTGATCGTTGACGCAGATCAGAGTTTCGGATGCCATCTCTTACTTGTGTGGAACGGTATACTCCTAGCATCTTCCTTTCGACTGCGCGTTCGATAACGCTGAGTGACCTTTCATACTGCTCACGCAGCGACCAGGTTTCTAACGCATAGGTTAGGACAGAAGTACCCTTCTGTCGAAAAGTGGGTACAGAGTCGGGTGTCCTTTGTTCTCTTCACTACATCCTCGATGCTCTTGAAAGCCCCCCAAGCCGCTCGTTTCCTTCTGCTCAACTCTGGAGCTAAGTTGTTCATCATACTGATTTCCCGACCTAGATAGATATAACTGGAGCGATTGGAGATATTCGTTCCGTTGAGCGTGAATAGGGCTTGCGAAAGCAATCCGTTCTTCATGAACATCGTTCTTCTGAGATTTAGCCGAAGACCAATCTTTCCACAGCCTTTATCAAGGTCGGCAAGCACACGTTCCGCTTGGCTAATGTTTGGTGTTATAAGGAAGACGTCATCAGCAAAGCGAAGATGTTGTAACCGCTGAGCATCGATTTTCACTTCCATATTATCCCATTCCAATGTTCGCATCGCATGACGTTCTGGAGGGTGGCGGTAAATAATTTTGGCGAGATGGTATCGGCTTGCCTAACTCCTCTTTTGACGTCAATGTTAATATCGTTGTAGAATGGCGATATCTTAGTTGTGAAATTTTTGTACAGCTCACGAAGAATCTTTATGTACTGAGTAAGGACACCTTGACTATCAAGGGCTTTCAAAACTGCTTCTATCTCAAATGAACCAAAGGTCTTCTGTAAATCGATGAAAACTTCGAAACCCTGCTTGCTCACATGGCTGTCCTCCGTCTAGTGTTCTGTCAATCCCGTTTAGGATTGTTTGTCTTAGGACTCGATTGAAAAGTTTGTAGTCGACAGACAGTAAGCAGATTGGGCGATAGTGGCCGATATCGTGTAGGTCATCCTTCTTGAACAATAACACTGTCTTGCTGGTCTTCCACTGTGCAGCGACCTTGCATTCAGACAGTGTGTTGACGAGGACTGGCGGAAGGTTCTTCAGGTGTTCTGATCTCATCCTCTCCGGATCTGGTGCAGATCGGCGTTTTACCGATGGAATGGCATGTCGGGTTTCGGAAGGGAGAACCGCTGGTACAACATATCCATCCTCCTTTGTTTCATATGACCGAAGATGGACGTGGCTATCGAAGAGATCTGAGCAGTATTCGTGAATGATTTTCTTTATTGCCTTTTTGTACGTTGTAACTGTTCCGTCTGTGCATCGGACTGCATCCATCTTGGTTTTGTAATTGGAGAAGCTTCGGTGGGCTTTGCGAATGCTTTTCCCAGCCTCTATAGCTTCGACCATTACTGCTGCTCTTCTCTCCTTAAGACCTTTTTTCGCCCGTCAGCATTGTTTTGCAAGTTCGGACGTTATTTAGCGGTTGCCTGTAACTCGTGTGATTCCATGCTGGTGTATCATCTCGAGTGTTTCTGGAGACTGGCGTCTCTTGGTGGCTTTCGAGCTCTCAGATTCCATAGCGCTAACGTGAGGATGTTGAATGAGCCAATCGTATTCTTCGTCGATGTTATCGACAACGGCATCTTCCCAACAGCCGACTAATGAATTGAATAAGTCCAGTTCGCGGCGGTTTTGGGCCTTGGGTTTTGGAATTTAACGGCTTTTTCTCCTTTCGCCGAGAAATAGAAACTTGCACGGAAGAGATGGTGGTCTGATCCCGCGTAGAATTTTGAGGCAACAGCGACATCGGTTAGGCAAAACCTATTTACTATTATGTGCTCTATTTCGTTATTGTACTCTCCATTGGAAGACTCCCACGTGTAGCGTTGAGGATGGGGCTTCTGGAATTACGAGTTACTATGGATGGTCTTGGTCGCCATGATAAACTCAGAAACCCGCTCACCCTGTTCGTTCCATTCTAATCCGTTGCTCCCAGTATGACCTTCTTTAGACGTTCTTCTTGGTCCAATCTTGGAGTTGAAATCTTCAATGATGACCTTGAAGAATGTATGGTCTTCTCTATAGAACTTCTCCAAGTCTATATAGAACACTTCGACTTCTTCTCCGTCATAGTTTTATGTCGGCGCGTAAACGACGCAGATTGTCAAAGCCGATATTGATTCACATCTTTTTAATCGTTAACGTCCGATTTGCGTTGTAACCCGCTCGAATGAATCGATGTTCATGGACAAACCTGTGTTGACGAGAACGCCGACGCCGCCGACTCCTCAACTGTCGCATGTTTCGAGGACCAGTTCTTTTCCGGTGTCACAGACGTCGTTGAATGGGTGGCGCCGTCTCGTTTCGGCCAGGCCGATGACGTCGTATTTTGTCCTTCTTGCTTGCATGAGCAATTCCTCTATTGAGGACTTGGATGCAAGTGTACGTGTATTTAAGTACAGATCGTAACCATAGTTCTTTGTAGTCTAGGTAGCTTCTATTGGCCGTGAAATTTCAGCAGCTTCTCCGTACTCGTCCTACCCAACGCTGCGAAATTGGGGGCTGTTTCGGGGTCAGGGGAATAAGGCCCGTTTTTTTTTTACTGTGTTTAGCATTTTTGATATCCACGTATATCTTGCTGGGCTCTTAACGTCGGGGCTGGGTATACTCACGGGTAGCTTGCTAGGTTCTCGCAGAATGGACATGCGGCTTACTTGTTGGAGACGACTGCTAACCGCCTTCCATATATTTCCCAGTCACTTGATTGCTGCCTTTTGGCCGAATTGACTCTTAGAATACAGTCCGCATAAGCGAGAACGCACCCACACACGCATGCATGTATACGCCTCGTAAATACAGAAAGTATGTGCCAAATCGGTGCAGCAGAAACAGGAGCCCATCCCCTGGATCCACCTGTGTCTCAGGGAAGCAAAGGTCGCTTTTGGTCTGCGATTAAGCACTTATCCTCCACCTGGGGACGCACCACCTTGCCTCGCGACTAACCGGCTCGAGATTCCTCATATGAGGGAATTAGTTTATCAAGTTTATTAGTTTATAATCCGTTAGTTTATCATAGGTTATTACAAACTGTCTCTGTTTAGCTGACGCGAGGTTGGTACAGATGTTCTTATTGTTGTTGTTGTCGTTTTTGTTGTTCTTGTTGTTCGACTGCTGACGTGTCAGAGTCTTCCCCTTCCTAAGAATCGTGCTATTGAGTACCACCCATGCGTTGCTCCCGAGAGATTCATGTCAGCCATCGAACGACAACAACAACAACAACAACAACAACGACAATAATAACAACAACAACAACAGCAACAACAACAGCACCAACAACATCAACAATAAGAGTCTACCTATCTAACATCTATGCTAACCTCGCGTTAGCTAAACAATTTAGATAGCCCGTCCTCACTGATTGTGTGGGCTCCAGCATAATTTTTACTTTTTCAGAGTTTTGCCGGTTCAGTCATTGTGGTTCCCTGGAATCCCAAGGTCAGCCTAGCCAAAGTCTGCTCCAGGTTGTGACCACCACAGGTAGTCGCTGCCCTTCTGGATTGGAGGGAGATTTGCCACCACATCACTAGTTTGGTACTAGAACTGCGGTAGATCGTGGTTATGGTTTACTCTTAGCTGGACTTCCTGATGGAAGCGCAGGACTCCTTCTCAGCTTGGGAGGCTCTCCTGGTGAAATGAAGCCTCGCCCCCCCGCCCCCTGTTTGCATCATACCCCGGCATGCAGGAACACCTAATAGCCACGATAAGGCGGCAAAGAGTTTGGTTGATTATATATATATATATATATATATATATATATATATATACATATATGTATATATCAAGCGTTATGCCAAGGTCTAGAGAAAGTTGATCCTTAGAATGATTTACGTTATTGTGTTTGTAACTTCAGGAAAAGACCTACGTTTTTGCTTACTATGCCTAGCAGTGAGTTTATTTGTATGCTAATAATTAATCACTTCACCAAGTTTTTATTTGTTCACCGTGTTCTCGAAAATCGATTCGATCTCTAACACCGCATTCGATAGATATCTCGATTTGTCGGCCAGAATTGTTGCTCCATGGAAGTAATCGTAGAGAAAGGGCAAAACACTACAAGGACATAGGACTGCATGTGGTAGGGACCTGGCAGCACCATGGTGTAGCTATTCCGAAGAAAACTATGCTCAGTTATCATTCAATACCAGTGAGGAGAAAAAATAGGATATCTCCAAGCTTTTCAACCGGAGCACCTTCGTGCAAGATTTCTGGATGCGAAGAATATCTAAGAGCTCGAAAATAAAAAATTCCTTTATAGAAAACTAACCAGAGTTAATGGTCGAGTGAATCGACAAAAAGTGAACACCAAAAAGGTTTCCTGTCCTCGCACCACCGTATCGTTCTTGTGATCTAGGAAATTAAATACATCACACTTTCTCTACTTTAGGATTTTTTGTACGATTCGCTTGTAGTCATTTGATTGCAACTTTTAGACGATGCATTCCGTTTACCTGTAGGTACATCCATGCACGTGTACCTGAAAGATCACCAATGTGCGAGAGATCTAAGGCAATAAAGCAAGGAGTTCTATACATGAAGCCAATTGAGTTCCAAGGAAAGTACAACCTTGCTTTTTGCTTGTATTTAACCTTCTTTCCACAGTCTCCACCCATCTTCGAGTCTAGTTAGTTCAAAAAACTAATATGGAAGGCTTTTCCATAAAACGCGATGCCTCGTATTTTGGATAGCAACCAAGGCATCCCTCGTGGCGTAATTATAGTGACGCCATTCAATACATTGAAGAGTCTTTTCAAATCCAGCGCCAGGAGAACCGGAGTTGCAAAATTTATGCGAAGATTAGCTGGAACTCATTTCTGTTCGTAATTCCTAGGAAAGTCGCATCAAGGCTATCAGAGGATCGGATTTCAGATGGGAAAAATCGACTCAACCAACATTCAGCGATGCTCACTGCGAAAACCAGAAATTCTCGAGCAGTAGCAGGACTCAAATGCGAACCCCAAAACCTTCATAGATGATAGATGCGAGGAAACGAATCGAATAGAAGAGTGCGATGGCCCGCGCAATATATGTGAAGTTGGATCGTGCGAAAGAAAGCTCCAAGATCAAATGAAGAAACGAGCATCCGGCCGGTAGGACTTCTTAGAATTAACAAGTCAAACGATCTTCATGAATTATTGCAACGGCAGACACTGTCACAAGCCATTTTTAAGAATTCACTATAACTCAAGGAGATGCGACTCGATACGATTACAAAGACCAAAAAGGAGAGGACGAACCATTGTGGACTGCCTATGAAAAAATCGAAGCTGTCGAAAGGCAAGCTGAGTAAAAGCTGTATAACAACATCGTGGAGGCTGAATAATTTTAAAAAATGCAAGTCATTGCCATGTTAACTTTTTATTTACTGCCTATCACAATTTTTTCACGGAAGGGTATTATGTGGTGACATTGTGATTTGGGCTACGGCCTCAGCAAAACTAGGCTCATTGCCGATTTGGGTTCCCCAGATCAATCCCGTTGACGCATTGCTGATGACACTGATTGATAGAACTAGCTGAGAGATAAGCGAAATAAAGGACCCGCATAGTGTGTTGGTG